GCTCGAGCGCTCTGTGGGTGGTCCGTAAGGCTTTCGACGTGGCTGCAGTGTCGGCCCAAGTCACAGCTGCGTAACAGAGCGCCGGGAGAAGGGTTGAGTCGAACAGGTGGCCACGAAGCTCCGGGTCCGTCAGTTAATCGGTGGCTTTCTTCAGAGGCCCGAAGGCGGCCCAGGCTGCTCGTCTTCTCCTGTTAAGTTCTTCCCTCAAGTCGTTTTCCATGTTCATCAAACGTCCGAGATACACTAAGAGGACGTCTCCATAATAGGGGTGCCCTCCAATTCCATTTCTCCATCTTCGTAATGAGCGTTCTTCACGAACTGATTCTTTTTCCGATTTATTCGCACCAAGAACTGAACAAAGTAAGGAAGAAGATGGATATCCCTACTTCGTTTAGTTCCTTCAGCATCATCTCTGCTTCAGTGATACTGCTCGAGAAGAAAACGATGTCGTCCGCAAAACGAAGGTTGGACAGGAATCTCCCATCAAGTCGTATGCCTCTCTCGTCCTTGTCCAGTAAATTCATCACCCACTTCAAGGCCGCGGTGAACAGCTTCAACGAAATAGTGTCACCTCGTTGGACCTCCTTTCCGATTGGAATGATCAGCGGGAGATGGAATAGCTGCATAGTTCTCAGACAATAACTCGGACGAGCGGCGGACTTTAATCGCAAGCGAGCGGCAAGCTTTGATTTGTAGGCGTGGCTTTCTTGCGGACGAGCGGCGTACCCTCGCTACCGAGCTTGCGACCGGCGGACCTTAATTTGACCAGCGGCGGACCATCCCTTTAAGTGGATGGGAGGCGTTTTATCAAACTCTTTATCTTGCATTCATCTTGAAGTTTTCTCATTGCAGTGTTCTTCATTTTGTCAATGCTGTTTTCATGGCCTGGTGGCCATTTGAGCTACTAAAATGATTTGAGGTTAGCCGTTGCCGATGAATCACATGAACTTCTCCCCATATTCATTACATCCCAGAAAGGGAAAATGAGGAAAGAAGGGGATACAAAGAAGTGAATTCTGACTATGACAGCGACTAGTTCCTGGCGTATGCAGAAGGCCGACCTTTTAGGGGAATTTGATAATAGGTTTGGTTCTTCTGCAAAGCTATAGAGGTAACCAAAAGTGAAGATAAGTTTGAGGTGGACGAAGTTAAATGTAGGTTTACCTTTGATCGTGTTGTAAGCAAGTGCATCACGATGATTCAGAATCGTATTTGCAGTTGTATCTGCAAAGATCGCAACTGAAAGGTTATTCGAGCGAATATCGAAGCTGAATCCGCGGCCTTTTTTTACATTGTTCGCTTTTCTTGGAAATTCAAAAACATATATACGATTCAGTTTTTAAGGGACTCTGCGACATCTGTTTTCCTTTACCAAACGTAAAAGCAGATTCACATCAACTATCATTATCTGCTTTATTCATTGAGAAATCTAAGACTTAGGCTAATCAAACGTGCGAAATCACCCGTCCATCTTACATATGTACCGTATATGTGGTAAAGCTATGCTTTGAATCACTTTACATCAAATTTCTTAGGAAAATTTTACGCAACTTGGTCGTAATCTCGTACTAGCGGCGCTTTTACCCCATATTGCATCATGTTACCCGTAGCTATCAATAAAACTTTCTAGGAGCCCAAAATTCGTTGAGGTGCCCAAAATTGTAGTTTTGAAAATCAGCATTGCTAGTTTACTCGGACGTTCTCGTTTTATTGACATACATGCCAGCAATGGTAGATGCGCCCACGCATCAGTTGGCAATTAGCATATGTTGGTGTTTACGTATTTATTTCTGGAAGTTTCAAATCTAAATGCTATACAAATGATTTCCTATAACCACGGCGATGCAAGCAAAAAGTAAAAAGTAACCAAAGTAAACTAAGGATGACTTCAAATTTATTTTGCAAGCAAGCAGCCTTCCTGATCCTTCTTTCAAAATAATTTCTCACATACATACTTTAACATGATGTCTACATAACGTTAGCAAAAGTAGTTGACATTGCGATCTGTTTCCCGTGTCTCCTTTTAGATACTGTCCTATGCTGTCGTTTCTGATCCAAAAATCAAAAGTTGATAGAGGGGCTCATGACAGAAAACAGATAAATCATGAAACTTTTCGTGACTATTAAGATTCCTTGGACGTTTGAAAGATCGCCGGACGTTCCATCACGACTATCTTTCGACCCCAATAAGCTAGCTTGTGCGAAGCATAAAGTCACATCTGCTCGAAAATCGAAAATAGAATGATTGCAGTTTTTGTCTATGCACATTCAAATGCTTTTCATTCCAGAAAGGCTTTTGTATACATGCTTTATATGAATTGTGCAAGCTCTGCAGACCTTGCACTTATGATTGAATGTGGTGCTGGTAGCTTCTGGAGATGCGATTAAATCACGTGTACATTTTTTTTGAACATTTTTTTACCTAACAAGGGATAGATACTTGGTCTAAGTGGCTTTTGCATACATAGTGTATACTATCTTGTAGAGCATGGAACGCTGAATTCAGTTATATTTTCGAAATCCGTAAAGCGCTCCTGGGAGAGGAGTTATGAAAATTTCTTGATGCAAAAATTTGAAAACGCCGTTAAAATAAAATCATTCACACCTTAGTCCACGAGCTCAAATGGGGCCATGATTACACTATGTAGGGCGTTCTGGAGTAAAGACCTTCAATCTAATCAACTCACGTCAGTCATTACTCCCTTCAAGCGCCGGAAAGACCGCAGTATCAATTTTTACATTAGCTAAGCCAATGAATGTTTACCTCAAAAATTTCCCAAACTTCCCCCCCCCCGGAAGCGCTTTGCAGATGAAAAAAGCAGATTTGGAATCAGCGCTCCAGGCTTTATAAGATAGTATATATCTCAGATGGAAATGACACTTCGATCAAGTATCCTTCCCTTGTAAGTGATTCTCACTACTGTAGATAATCGAAATGATTCGAGGAAATAAGGTTAGTTAAAATTTTCACATTTAACGGGCTAAACACTATTGTTGCAATTTTTAGCCTGAGATAAGGTTAATTATCCAACTTTTTGTTTTTGTGTGTAAAAAAGACAACACCGTTAATGTGGGAGTAAACTCAGTTTGAAGCAAAAATTGTTCTGAACAGTCATCATGTTCAAGAGAACTATTCGCAAAAAAAAACACTATCATCACTTGATTTAGAAAAATGTTTTCTTCGATGATCAAGACATTTCGTACTTGTTCTTGAGTATTTCAAACACATGTTGCATTTTATTTCAATCCCTTTTCCTATTTCAACACATTGACGACAATACGACCCACCGGTGGGTCGTACGTGTACTGCCATTTCGGACAATACGACCCACCGGTAGGTCGTAACTTTTCGAAAGCTCTAACTTTGCCACTTCACGGTAGAACTCCATGGAAATCTAGCCTATGGTTGGAGATATCTAGACGATGGTGCGATCGCCATAGTCTGGCATCAGGTTACGGTATGTTAGAACTACGGTAGGTATACCGTAGGCAGTGCACGAGGGCATAATCTCACTCGGGGACATGTAGAATGATGAAATTTCATCCTATTTTTTATGTGCACATGCTTATAAGGACATTTTTTCTTATCTGGCTTATTTTGCAGTATAACAGGTCATTTCGCTGACAACACGAAGAATTGGGCCATGGCAATTTAGCATGATGATATCCTAGATCAATAAAGATTACTTTCTGACCTCGAATTGCTTATGCAGCGTTGCATTGCTTTGCGTGTGATATTTTACATGCACAGCAATTGCAGATAACACTTTGAAGATGACTTTTCGTCTGTTCTTCTCGTCTATCTCAGACAACACAGGTATAATTTATTTAGTGAAAGCAAATCCATCATAAGAAGTGATTCAGGTATGAAAAATCTCTAGCTTCGCTTGCATACAGTGAGTAAATGAGCTTCAATTACACAAATGAGCACAAAAAGACATGACATAAGGCAAAGGTAATAAATTAGTTCAGAGTGGAGCACTTATGTTTTACTGAAACAGTCTACGCAAAAATGCTTCAAACAACGACTGCACCTCGTATTGACTTTTCTAGCATTTTTATTGGCAAAGCGTGATCCTTCCTTCTTGCTAAGCTCTTTCTCAGACAATTGCATCGGCAAGTTCGCGGCCCTAAAACGAGTTATATGGAGCTCCGCGGCCCTTAAAATTTCAGCCCGGCACGCCGCGGCTCTTAAAATTCGCAGTGCGGCACGCCGCGGCCCTTGTGTTTCTAGTCTGGCAGGTCGCGGCCCTTGAATTTTCAGTCCGGTGCGCCGCGGGCCATGCATTTTTTGACGGGCGCGCCGCGGCGTATAAGTGATCCTACAAAAAATCCATCGGAAAAGCCGCGGCCCTCAAATTTTTATCGGGTGGCTCGCGGGCACTGGAGAGTGCGCATCTTGGAAGAGGGTATAAGGATGCAGACAAATAAAGCAAAAGTAATGATTCTTGCTGCGCGTTTCTCCATTTTTTAGCGTTGTTCTAGCAAATTGAACATTCTTTTTTCGCTTATTAACGTTTTATCTTGTTATTTTGATTTTTTGAGTCCTCTGTTTTTTTTTCAAGTTTCAACCAAGCTTTCCTCATTTCCTTTGCTATTTTAGCAAATCAAACATTCTTTGTTCATTTGACTTGTAATTTATTTTATTATGTTACTTTTTCAAATAACCATTTTAAGCATTTTCTGCGAGTTCATTCATTTTGGAAGCCTTTCTTCCTTACTGATGAATTCCGGGAAAGGCTTTTTATTCGTTTTCTGTTTTTTTTCTTTTTTCCGTCTAAGGGAAGGAACGAAACGGACCTACCTTTGTTGTGTTTATATGTTATAAAGTTCTATTATTCTGCCTCTTCAACGGTTGCTCATGTCATGCTTCTCGATTTTTTTGCAAATATACCTATGCATATAATAGTGGTTTTTGTTCAGTACTTGCAACACTTACAACTATTTATCATGACTACAAAAACAACACGTTGACGCTGCAAGCTGTTAATGTCTCAGGAATGGCAAATTATGGATGTAAGCGCCTCATATTTATTCTTTGTTCATGCTCGGTATTGTCTATCAAAAGCATCTATAGTATCCATTGATGAAGAAATGCGTGAAATTTGGGAGCAGCGTGATCCCACTTTTCATCAAGAAGAATTGGAAAGTCTTGGAAGGGAACAACGAGAAATTGTGACGATGGACAACAGCGTTAGGGATTCTCCTATCATTTTCGAAGAGGAAGAGGAACTTCCTATTGTAGAAGAAGATGAAGATTCAATAGAAAGTAGAGATATGAGTGCGTTTGTTTTGTATTGATCTATATCATATATAATTGCTTATGCGCTTTGCAATTTAGCTCAGTACCAGCGCAGTGTTATACGCCATTCATCTCCAACAACTTGGCCTTTCCAAAGAAGCAATCATTCGTAATGAAGATGCAATGACATTGCTATACGGCGCCCCTCCACCTATTTCGGTACAGACAAATGTTATGAAGTTTATTTATCAAATACAATTATTTAGTACAATGAGCACGTTGTCGCTCTCAATAAAGAGTTACTGCGCGAGTACAGGAGGGACTGCCATTTTTTTGCTGTAACTGTAATGAAGAAATGTATCAAGGGCAGGTTGCATGTGAGAACAGCAATTGTGCAATCCGAGGGTTTATTGCGAGCTTTTAACCAATTCGTCTATTATAGTTTATGCCCTTTTCAGCGTTAATAAGAAGAGAGCCAAGCGTACCCAGAGTATAGAAGTACACACTATCAACGTAATTCCTCAACTGTCGGATGTCCTCACTCAAAACTTCGGAAGAATACTAGAAAAGCATGAGCAGATTCATCGAGACGGGGTACTAATACTCGCTTCAAATAACGAAGCATATACTAAGCTTTGCAGGACGAAAGTGAAGATCGAAGTGATATTCGATCTTTTGCGGGCTATCATAGAGCGATTGAAACAGCTGAACAGTTCCTTCATTCTCATCTGAAGGTTCTCCTCACTGTTTCCATAGACGGATTCGTTCCGAAAAGATTATCAAAGTAAGAGGGAAGCCCTATCTATTCCAGAAGAGTTCTGAAACTTCTACCCTTTAGAAGACAGGTATGGCCTCTTTACCTCCGCGTAGAAGGGTTGCCTCAATCGGAGGGTGACAAATATCACAATGCCTTGCTCGCAGGAGCAGTTTATTGCCGCATGAAACCGTCGGAGAAAATGATGGAGGCGTTGTTTTGTCGGTGAGAGTGGTTTTGATATAAACTGATGTCCAACAATAGAACCGTTTTAGGCTAGAATCGGAACTCCAAAGCTTGCGAGAGGCACAATGGCGATAGAATTTAATGGAAGGAAGTGGGATGTAGAAGTGAAGATATTCAAAGGAGATATTCATTGTAAGTTTTTTACACGCAAAAAAAAAGATTTCTATTGCAATAAAGCTTTGTTTTAGACGGGACATTCGCTCTTACACATTTAATGAGTGCACGGGATGGGTACCAAGCCCAGTAAGTTTTTGTTTAAAGTTGTTAAATACTGTATGTATCAAGTAGTTTGTTTTTAAAAGCAGGCTAAGAGGACTGGAGAAGAAACGCAGAGAACTGTCATGTATGGCGACAGCAATTTAATCAACTCGGACTAACTCATGGGCCGCCGCAAACGATGTGGGATCGAAGAAAATTTATATATTTATGTCAGAGCTATATTCGGTTTTTATTTGTCATGCAATTGTTTTGATTGTCACATGCCACGAAATTTTGTTTTGAATTTCACATATAAAGCCTGAAATCAATAAAATATTTCCAGTTTCTTGTGTTTGCATGAGAAGGAGTAAATACGCTTGAAGGGCTATAAATGGGCTGAGGTCTGACTGCTTCAGGCTGTCTCCTGTGCCAGCATTTCGGGCCAGCCGTAAGGGCATACCGGGTATGTAGCGGGCTTTCCGGCGGCCGCTTATCGGGCGGTTCTCAAACATCACAGCGGGTCAACTATTGGCGCGTAGCGGGCACTTTAATGATGCATAACGGGCGCTTACAGACGGGCCGGCGGTCGCTTATCGGGCCCAATATGCGTTTAGCGGGCGGGTCGCGGCATGGATGAATGGTGGTCGGGCAAGCGCCCGCAAACTTTCCGAAACAATTGTCTGAGTTGTAGCAAGCAACGCATCTCTTCCTTGTAGCAGATTTGGGGCCATGAATCTCTTCTAGAATGTATCCAGAGGTTGTTCCTCTGAGATCTAGTAGCGACTCTATCACTTCTATCTTGAATTCCGTCAGATGGACTTTTTTCACGTAGTCGCTGTACAACCTCCAAGCATTTACGAGTGTTGTCTTGGTGAGAGTGTGAAAGAATAGACGAATGTACCACTTGCTTGTTTTTCTCACTAAAGGTGTGTACGAGGCCATTTGGTCGCTTGTATCAACGAATAATTTTGATTTGTTGTAATCTCCAATAATTAGCGGCTTTCCCTGCTCATCCTTTTTGTCATCGTGAAAGGTTGATAACATGAGAACATCTCTCTTGTCGCGCCACTTCAGTACAGTGATTCCTAGATCGTTTTGCTGTGCTACAAATTCGTCCCTCTTCAATTTCCTTTCCACTACTGCTTTCGGTAGACCTTTCCGATTTCTTCTGATGGTGCCAACGAGATGCGTTTTTCTCTTCAAAAGCCTAGACTGGTCTCTTTCAGCGTAAACCATTATTTTGTGGGTGAATCCGCTTTTGGAACACAGCTTGAACATCTTGATCCCGTAGCGGTGGCGCTTGTTGGGTATGCATTGTCAAAACAGTAGCCTTCCTCTGAACGGAACTATCAACTCGTCAATGCAAATTTTCTTTTCTGGCCTAAAAATCCGTTTGCACGTGGTATTGAACAAATTTAGAAAAGTCGAAATCTTGTATAGCCTGTCGGTCCCATCGTACGTAGCGTTGTCAACGAGATGAAGATATCCAAGAAGTTTTTCAAACCTAACTCGTGTCATGACTTGGTTGCCGATTGGGTTCCCACCAGAAACACGCCTAGTGCTCCAGTAATCTCGTAAAGCGAGTAACTAAAAAAATGAAAAAATCGATAGGAGATGAACAGGAGTCTAATATGGCATGATCAATACCGCAATCATCATCGAAATACCATGCATCATGTGTAGTGATAGTATCTGACCATGAAGCTTTGGTATTCCGTTCGTCGGTGAATTCCTCATCTTCAATCTCTTCGTCTTCTTCAGATTGCGTATCCTTTTGAGTGATTGTCCGCGGTGAAAGCAGCTTCCTCGTCACTTTCGATCAGGAGACGCTCGAAACTGTCGCTTAGTTCATCTTCGCCAACATCATCTGCTCTCTGTACGAGGGACTTGAATTGTAAAAAAAAACAACATCGCAACTGACTTTTGGACGTACCGGATCAACGCTCATGTGGATAAGGGTTGGTGTTGTATAGGCACTAAATTACGATGGATGCTCCTACGCACTCATTCAGACTATGATGTTACTGTAGAAAACGTTTGGGGACCCTACACCGCAGGCACAGCACACCCCTTTGCTTATGAAATTAGTCTTTACATCACATCCCTTTGTTCAGGGAAATATTCCTTTCTTTCGGCAATCTGCTTCGTTCTTATTTTCCCGCAATTTCGACTCACTACTGAATATGAAGGAGAGCAGTTCTGCAATCAGCATACCAACGTATCCTATGAGAGGGTTTTTCTTTACAAAATTCGTGATCTTTTGTCACCCACCGTATGACTACCGTAACCTTATTCTAAGGCCATAGCCAGAAAAGTAAGTGTTGTTTCCGTAATCAGTACCTTCGATAACCCCAAAACGCAAGTTTTCACAGAAATTCGTTACCACATACCGTATGACTACCGTAACCCTATACTGAGGTCCTAATAAGTAAAATGAGTGCCATTTTCATAATCAGCATCTTCACTAACCCCAAAACACAAATTTTCGCAAAAATTCGTGATCACTTGTCGCCTACCGTATGACTACCGTAACCCTATACTGAGGTCCTAACAAGTAAAATGAGTGCCATTTTCGTAATCAGCACATCCGATAACCCCCTTGAGGAAGTGAAATGGAATTTTGACATTTGACACTTTGAACAATTGGATAACGCTATTCACGGAAGCAACGTTGCAATGAATTAATTATAATAAAGAAATGTTTTTTGTTCTTTATGAGGAACGAAAATTCGATTTCAACTTTTTCAGTTAGAAGTGCAGGGATACTTACGATTCGAATATATTAGGATAATTTGTCACTTATTGTCCTTGTGGATAAATTTTATTAACAAACTACAAGCGTTCTATATGTGAAAAGACTACTCCACAGCACTCACACAGATTCCGTCATTGTAGTACAAAATCGGATGTTAAACGTAGTAGAAACCATTTAGATTTCGGGTCAGTGTAAGCCCCATTATTCAGAACAAATTTGAAGAAAACCGTAATCACCGCTTAAAACCCCGGCGGACCTCGCGCGATTATAGTCGTCATGCTATTTGGTAATCTGTCAAATATCTTCAAATCCAACAATTGCAGGCTACAAAAGCATAGTGTATGCAACTTTTGCAAATGGACGAAAGGTTGTATCTTCTGTGGAATTTGAATGCGCGTACACTCAATTATAAATTGAAGCAATGCACTATCGCTAAGCGATCGCAATCGCGCGAGGTATGCCAAGGTTTGAAGAGCAAATTGCTCTTGACGATGATCAGGTTTGAGGCATTCTGAGCATCAGTATCACTTGACTGAAAAACATGTTGTTGTTGATAAAAGCATTTCGTGCTCGCATTTAGTTATAATAACAAACTCAAACGGCTTTTTGTCTTCATCCCTTTTCGCAAACGGCATCCTCACGTCCCAAAGATTGTTCAAGTGTTCAGCATGAAATGCATTTTTTGGCCAAGACGAAAACGGTTGGTAACAAAAAAATGGTGCAAACGAAGTAAATGGATGTTTCTTTTGCAGGCGCAAACACATTTGATTCAAATGGAAAGGCAGTCACAAATAAATTTGCAGAATTTTTGTCCTCGTAAACATGACTGAATTTGTGCGGAGTTCCCTTTTCCAAGAACGAAGTTTATTCCATAATGCACGATATAATTTGCAGTTGCACAATATTGAGAGTCGTAGATCGCTGATCTCCATGTGAATGGAATGAGCAGCTATTTCTCAAAATATTTGCATTTTGGAAATGTCACGCAAAAAAATCTCCGGTTACAATCACGTTTGTTTTTCTAGAATTGTGCATGTGCAACTGATTATGAACGTTATGTAGTAACCTTTGAAAGCATGAAGCTCATTTTGGTGTAACGGTTAATCAGTTTGATCATAGATTCAAATGTGAAATTAATAGAGTGCAAACTAATAAACTACGCGTGCTATTCTCTCATCCAATCCAAGCGATTCATGCTTTTGAAACTGATTCTTGATCCGAGGGTGATTATGAATTTGGGAGTAATTTAATGCTTATGTCTTTGCTAATAATAAACTCTGCTACTGCTACTTATTGCCTTTCTAACAGACCATTCCAAAGTCATCTTTTTGGTTGATGCTAAGAAATCACTTGTTTTCAAAGCAAATCCGAAGTTACACAGTATAGGCAATCGAGTAGCATTATGCTTCTAGATAGAGAGAACAAAGTGGTAATCTTAGAGGATGAAGATATGTATATACAACAAAAAATACACGCGCAGGTCCCTAATCTAGCTCTATCGGCACCTCATTGAGCAGCTTGCCAGGTTTCCAGGGCCACTAGTAATCTGGCCGAAACTCAGAGTTTAAAGCTGCGCGTTAACTCAGAGTTAACTCCGAGTTTCGTTTTTGAAGCGCGGAGTTTCGTGCTGCTACTTGTGGAGCCGCTAAGGTTATTGAGGAGCTAACATGCGCTTTATCACAAAACACTGCGGCTAGCTCGGGAGTCGAACTCCCGTTGCTCGGCGAGAAGTGCCTACCACTGGACCATTAGACTACAGAACACCCTAGCACCACTGCCATTCTGCCGCTATTAATACTGTTGCTTACGTCCTACGTGTTCAAGCACGTCAAGAGGCATGGTGCCTTTTCACTCTAAAAAGGTGATTCACTACAGTACCTATACGTACTCCCCCCCTCATTCTCAACCTCCACTTACGATATCATCTTCTATTCAGAAAATACCAGCCTTAGAAGAATTGATTACCCCCAGCTGCATTGTTTTATGGTTGAAAAGGTCCTGCGAAAATAATTTTGAAGTTTAAGTAGATAGACACATTTGTGGCAACAAGGGTCTTTCTATAAGACCACTTAGTGCGCAGGTGCTTTGGAAAATATGGATGAGACTTGACTTATGGCTTTGATTTCACAGCGCGCGCAGCTGCTTAGAGGTTCAAGAAAGTTTCAAGAAATACGGCACTGATAGCTGGCTGCTGAAAGCCACGATTTGCATTTTCACGCAACATGATTAACACACATATTCATAATCAGCACGGCAAATAGCCCACCAACCAAGTTTCAGCGAATTTTGTGATCTTAGTCCAGCTACTGTGTAGCTACGGCAACCTCGCTACATGGATGACCCGCAATCACAAGTGAATAACATATTCGTGATCACGTGCCACGATAATCGTACTGTACCAAGTTTCAGACAACTTTGTGGTTTTCGCTTAACTACCGTATCCCTACCGTAACCGCGCTATGTAAGCGAGTGGCGAAAGATCAGCGTGCCAAATAACCCCATTGCACCTAGTTTCAGACAATTCGGTAATTTTCGCTCAACTACCGTATTCCTACCGTAACCTCGTTATGTGGAGTGGCGAAAGATCAGCGTGCCAAATAACCCTATTGTACCGAGTTTCAGACAATTTGGTAATTTTCGCCCAACTACCGCATTCCTACCGTAACCTCGTTATGTGAGCAATGGCGATGACTATCGTATTTGTGATCAGCGTGCCAAAAAACCCCACCGTACCGAGTTTCAGCCAATTCGTGATATTCGCCCAACTACCGTATCCCTACGTAACCGCGCTATATGGGCGAGTGGCGAAAAATGACTATGGTATTCATGATCAGCGTGCCAAATAACCCCATTGTATCGAGTATCAGACAATTTGGTGATTTTCGCCCAACTACCGTATTCCTACCTAACCTCGTTGTGTGGGCGAATGGCGAAAAATGAGCATCGGATTTGTGATCAGCACTTCCAATAACCCCCGGGACCAAAATTTTACACAACTTCAAATTTTTATGTTCAACGGTGCACTATGATACCCCCCCCCCCCTCCCCCATCATGCTTGATGAAACTCGGAGCAAAATCTACCCCGGAGGACTTTTTAGCTGCACCTCTGCGTTTGCACACTATTTCTCTTTCTCTAACCAAACTCGGAGTCAACTCCGAGTTTCGCGCGAGCCTGAAACGCGAACCAAACCCCTTTTGGCAAACTCCGCCCACTTTTATGCCTTTCACAAGGATCCTTTTTGTCCATAAAAAGTGAGGCTGTAGATGAAGGCAAATACCTCAATCAACTTTTAGCCAGGCCCCGCCCACCGTGAAACAAACTCAGCCCCCTGAGTGGCAAGCTCCGCCCACTTTTCAGAAGTGGCGGAAATCGCATAAGTTCTTGAAATTTGGGCAATTTCCGACATTTTTGGTCGAGTGGGCGGAGCTTGCCAGAGGGGCACATTTTGTACTTCGTGCATGGATGCATGCATACATACATGGGCCACGCGTAGGGATGCATGGAAACGTCTCGTCCACAGGGACAGACCGCAAAAAAAATGGCTCGTCGTCAACGTGTTGAGTACGTCTTGCGCGGTATCCTGCCATATCACCCTTTCCCCGGTTTGGTTTGTTTATGCAGATGTTAATAGTCTCTGAAAGGTGCGTGTTAATTCAGAGTTAACTCTGAGTTAACCCTTAGTTTGAGTTGCGCGTTTCGACACTTTTACTACCGACCATAGGTGCGATAGGGGGAGCCGGGTTCTCCCCAGGTGAAGGGGGTCTCGGCTGTTTCCGACCTTCCAGGTGAAGGGGGTATGTGAGTCTGGGGGGGGGGGGGGTAGGGAGAGAGAATAGGTAAAAAAGCGTGGTATGAAGTACCCTAATTTCTACCTCATTTAGGTACAAACTGAAAAAAAATTTCTAGAATTTAGAAAAAAATAATATTAGGTTAAACCGGAAGTTCTTTAGCACCAAATCCAAAAATTCATAATTTCTGAATTCTAACCGATTGGACCGCTCTTATTTTAATATGAAAGAGTAGGTCATGCTCTTTATAAAGATTCATAACTTCTGATTTTTCGAACCGATTTGAGTGCTAACACTTTTATTTGAAAGGGTAAGTCATGCTCTTTATAATGACATCTCAGTGCTTAGTAATAATCATCTGTTGCATAGATAGGAGCAAAAGAAGAAAAATGGTCAAAATTTGAATTTTCTGTGTAGGGTCACAAAATATCGGAGACTTGCAACAAAAATCGGAGCAGCCAATATTTCTTCCACCTTTCTAAGTGCAAAGTTTGCGCCGATTGAGCGTCTCTGTGGAGAATTATGATTTCCCTGAAAAATGCCAAAATAAACCAAAATCATCCTTTTGTAGTGCTTGCTCGAAAATCGTTACTTTCATAGAGACGTTCAATCGGCGCAAACTTTGCACAGCTAGAAAGAACTGGTGAAAAAAACTATAATACCGACTGCTCCGATTTTTGTTGCAAGTTTCTGATTTTTATGACCCTACACAGAAAATTCAATTTTTGACCAATTTTCTTCTACCGCTCCTATCTGTGCAATGGATGATCATTAGTAAGCAGTTGATGGTCTTTATAAAGAGCATGAACTACTCTTTCATATAAAAATAAGAGCGGTCCAATCGGTTAGAATTCAGAAATTATGAATTTTTGGATTTGGTGCTAAAGAACTTCCGGTTTAACCTAATATTATTTTTTTTTTAAATCCTAGAAAAAATTTTTTCAGTTTGTACCTAAATAAGGTACAAATTAGAGTACTCTGCGTTGATACCACTGCTT